TACACACACACATATATATACAATTTTTTACAAAACTAGAAAAAAAACATATTTTTGTTGTATCTCAATTATGTGCTTATTTTTCACTCAAAAATGAACAAATCAGTTGAAGGTAGCCATTGACTACCATGGTGGTGGTACTGTTCGGTTACCAGCATTCTTCGAAATATTAAAAATGTTGTGTTCAACAGAAGAAAGAATCTGTAATCAATTAAAGTGTAATTGTCTGATTACAAGTATTTTGAAACAATATATTCTGATTACAAGTAGGCCTACTTAATTTTTGGAATCTGATTATGTAGGCTAATCCAGATTACATGTAATCAGTTACTACCCAGTCACACTTATATCTCAGTAACTGCACGTTTTAAGTCAAGAGCAGTTACACAAATTGTGGAATTAGAATAATAGGAGTAGGGCCAAACTGCAGCTGCAATACCATCATATTTTTGCTATAGCTGTTAGGAAACACCCAATAAAACCACATTGTTCGGTCGGGCTCACACTTCCTCCAATTAAATAAAAAACAACCTAATTGCCCATTTTGTCACATATGACCTTTGTGTGTTTAGCTAATCTGTTCTCATTAAGTAGCTGCAGATTTTCACTCAATCTGAACGAGCTGGGAAAAGTCACAAACATACGCGCTACTGCCACCTGCGTGTCAAGTCAAGCAGTTCGCCACCTGCACTCATTTACTCCTATCTCTGACTGTTACATTAAGCACTGATATAAACAGTTCAGCTAAATTAATGTGAATGTATCTCTTTTCTCAGTGTTTACTCTGGGAATCTCCTGCTGCGCACATTCAGAAACCGACTTTGATTCGAAATGGCACTTGCGTCGGTCTAATGGTCGTTGTTGTCGTTGAAAGCTTGGGAAAACAGGAACGGCTCAATTTCCTGAGTAAAAGGCCTCATTGAAATGTTGCACAGAGCGTCGCATTAGCATAAAGTGCTCGTTTTAAGTAGGGCCTCGCCTTGTGCTCCTTTCAGTCCATCTTTCAGTCAACGCGTTAGAAGTCATTGTGTTCACATAGGCTACTAAACCTTTCACAAAGACACAATAGCGTGCGTGTACTTCAAACGCTAGTGATTAATGTTAATGACCATTAGATGGAGTGGACGCACATTTCGCTGCAAATAAAATGCAAAACCGAACGTTTTACCGTTTCCACGCTAAACTCAAATCTTATGTTCCTTTCTTAACTGTTTAGTGGCAAGAGAAGGTGGTTTTTTTCTACATGGAAGGTGAGAATCACGTAATTGGTTTGTCATTTTTGTCAGAGATTTGAAACTAACCGTATAGGCTACTCTAAAAAAGTGGTAGGCTAATCTGCAATTATTAGCTAGCCTACATAAAGGAGCTATTTCTACCTGAACTAACCTGGCTTTATTGGTGTAACACAATGGGTTTAAGTTGATTAGGCTATACAATATTTGTTCTTGAGTAAAATAGCTACTCTTAAAAATAAAGGTCCTCCAAAGAACCTTTCAGTGAACAGTTCTTAAAAGAACCATTTTTTTTCTTAGTGTAAAGAACATTTTAATAATCTAAAGAAACCTTTTACACTATAAAGAACCTTTTGTGCAATGGATGCTAAAGGTTCTTGGAACCATTGATGCTAATAAAGAACCTGTATTCTTAAGAGACATATAACATTTGAGGCTATTTTCCCCAGTTGTAGTCCTCATAATCAGTATAATTAGGCTCAGTAAATATCAGTATAACCAGTAAAAATGGCTTACACACAGACACATTCTTTATTGTCTGTTCAGGATTTCACCTGTTTGTTTGTGCATGATTATTAACCAATTGTATCCCTTGATCCAAGGCTTTAAATCTGTGTTGTGAGGATGAAGGGAGCTGCTGTAAGCTAAGGGGTGTTAGATAAGAGGATGATGCATCCCTGAAACAGTGAGACACTGTGCTAATACTAGCAGTGGGGGGCACACGGAGGCCCTGAAGGTGGTTTGTGGGGGTGAGAGATGACTAATTGGAACGGTGAGCTCTCCTCCCCTTTTCCTGCTGCTTCTGTCCTGTGGCTTTTCCCAGGGTCCCCCTCCCTGTTGGACATCTTGGCCTACTGCGAGATTACATCAGATCACATCACAGAAAGTCTGTCTGTACATAAACGAACACTTGCATTCACGTACATCCACACAATCAGTCAAACTGACGAGGAAGAGAGATGGGTTCTTGCTCTTACTCCTCAAAGCTCTCTTTCTTCTTTACTCTCTCCGACTTTATCTTTATGTTCTGCATGACATAGGGGCTGCCAGAAGTACCTGTTTGAAGAGGATTTAGGATTAAGGAAAGGAGGTCTCCATGACAGTGCTCTCATAATAGGCTTTATTCTTCTATAAAGCTAGTAATCATGTGAAATGGAACCCATGGGCCAATGATGAGTGTTGCAGCACAGAAATCTTCCTGTAAACTCTCATAAATATATCATCAAAGCATTTTTCTTTACCGCAAGGTGAACATTTTATTGTTCAGAAATGTATGGATTGTTTAATTTGAGTTTTATTTTTAATTCAACATTTTACTGTGAAAACTATTTCATGTATTTTCATGATTTGTCATCACAACATTTTTTCTTTTGTCAAATCAACTTTATGCGATTCAGAGAACATAATATTTTGAGCTTATGTTGATTGAACCAATCTCCTTCATTGTATTAACTCAATTTTTTATTTCAATGAACTCTGAATGTTAAGGCGACCATAGGTTATCTACTTTTTTAAGTTAAACCAACAATCATTTTTTTACAGTAAAGGTTCCATATCCAACCCTAAAGGGTTCTGTCAGGTGCTTCATATCTCATCATGGGATTGTTTTGTGGATTTAGTTTTAATTAATTCATTTTGTTTTGATTACATTTTTCAAAATCTTTTCTACACTCTTAGAAAAAAAGATTCTAGAACCTTAAAAGGTTCTGTCAGGCACTTCATTTATAGTCATAATATAACCTTTTAGGGGTTCCCATTTGGATTAAAATTTAATCAGTTAATTTTGTTTTAATTCAATTTTTCACTGGAACAAATTTAACAAATTTAAATAACATGTTAAACGTGAAAGTATTATGCAATCATTTAGCTCTCTGGTGCTGTTAGTTCATTTTTGACTGAATTTTTTTTTTTTTTTTTTTTTTTTTTTTAATATGTTTTTACTTCATTTGAGGTTTTGGCACTTGCTGTTTGAAAGAAAACAATTTTGGACATGATTAAAAAAGGTCAAATGGTCCTGACAAAAAATAGCCACACATGTATTGTTCGTGCAAAAATGGCTGCAAAATATGTATTTCATATAAAAAATGTAAAAGGTATTTTTGTGCATTTTTCATAAAAATAACACTTCATCAATAATCTGCCAAGTGTCGTCTTAAAAAAAGAGACCAAACTTAAGTCTGTGCTCCAAAGCATTCAAGATTTATGACAGTTTAAGATGGAAATTAATTTTTCAGGTCTATGCTCAAAAAAGTGAATAATGGATAATAACTACTGCATAAAAATTATTTAGTACCATAAAATCCCCTAAAAATACAAAATATTAAATAAAAAACATTATCGAACTAAAATATAGTATTCATTTCATTGAAATAATCTGTTTTTGTAATTTTAGAACTTTTTCTTTTTTGCATGAAGCATTCCTTAAAATTGAGTCAATAAACCCCACTGAAACTTTTTGTCTAAGACTTGCATCATGAAATACAAATCCACAATAGTCCATGACTTCCTGTTTCAGACTGAATTTCCATTCACCTGCAGGGTGAAACAGACAGAAAGGTCATATCATATAAATTTCACTCACTTGACTTTCCTTATCTCTGTTCATTTGATTCAGTGTTATTTTAATGATGAAACATTATTCATTGAACAGATTTCTTTAGGCTTTCTGTATTCTTGCCTTTAGGGCTTAACTGGATTAAGAGAGTGGAACAGAAACATTGTGACGAGTTTGTTAACTAGTAATCAGTGTGTTCTTAGAGCAGGATTACTAATCCGTCCTTATCAAGACTATTAGGCCAGCCACTGCACAAAGCCGCCATGCTAACGGGCTTTAGCATGTCTTAGTCTGCTGCAGAGCAGAGACAACAAGAACACACAACCATGTCTACAAAGCTCTGTCTACAATGGAGAGACACACTGCCTGGCTCCAACAGCTGCCCTTGGAACTCAGATAAGCTCTTTTTTGTCTTCTCACCCAACTTTGTCGCATCAGCAAAGTTCAACAGTTCCAAATGAGTCGAACTGTGCTCATCATTTAACCCGTGGAGCTCTCCTTATATAGCATCATAGAGGTTTTTTGATTTTAACATTTTTTAGAGCTTATTTTGTGTTATAAATGCTTATTTGCTCAGTTTTTATTGTGATTGTGAAGGCCATTTTATTGTCTTAGGAATTATGTATTATTGAAAATGTGTTGCAAACTCGACTTCAATTATCCTCCTGATAAAAATATATATATGCTTTTAATTACTTATATACGCATACGCATGAATTTGGATTTACTATCTTTACAGTATATCTCTATCATGTTATCATTCATTTGATCATATTTTGGATTATTACTGCTGATATTTTGTGTTGGTATGCAAGTATATCAATATAAATTAAAATAAGACATTCAAATTACTTAAACTGAATCTTATGACTTCTAGTTAGCTACTCTAACTGATCACGTTATACTGGATATTGCATGATATATACATACATACAGTTTTTTGTTTTTGTGATGGACACTTAATGTTTACATTATGGTTTAACTTAAAAAACTAAGTTACCGTCTTGCCTTAATGTTGAGTTCATTGAAATATTTTTTTTAGTTAATACAATGAAGGAGATTGGTTTAATAAATAGAAACTCCATATATTATGCTATCTGAACCACATTATTTATTATTTATCTAAGTTGATTGGACAAATGATTAAAAAGTTGTGATAACACATCATGAAATTTTTTTTTTTTACAGTGAAGAGATGCATCAAAGAACATGAATTCGTTTTTAAAAATATATTTCCTTTATTTCTTCCATATACAAACGTTTTAACGAAAACAAAGATACCCTTATAAGAGCAATGGTGTGTAATAGAAACACCTTAAATATATATCTATTAATTAAATATTTGTACAAATAGAGTACTGTGTCATCAAGAGAAAATCGAATATGTACAAAAACATCCTGTAAAAAAGTAACAGCGAGTGAGATGTTCTCAGTCTTGAAGTGAATCGTCGATGTCGATGTCTACATCAGACTCTTCTGTGAAATCTCTCTCCTCATCCTCTCTTCCCTGTGACCCGGGGCTCTTTGGTGGCACAGCGAGTCCTAGTTTGGCTAGTTTGGCTTGTTGTTGCTCAAGACTCTGTTTTCTCCACTTGATGCGTCTGTTCTGGAACCAAACTTTAACCTGGAGTTACGAGAAGAAAGAATGTTTAATGTCTGATCTATAGATGTTTAAAATAAATGTAAAACCGGAGCTCATTTCATACACTGTAACAAAGTACATACAATTTTCAACTTTTCTTCATAGAAGTTAGCTATACAAGATTTAACTCATGATTTAAGTTGAAATTACTTAAATATCCAAGTTGAATTTAAGTAGGGCTATTGCAAAAAAGAAAAAGTTTTACAGTGTAGCTGATGTGTATTTACCTGTGCTTCAGTGAGTTGGAGAGCAGATGCCAGGAGAAAGCGCTCTGATCCCACCATGTACTGCTGCCGTGCGAACTCTTTCTCCAGTCGGGACAGCTGCTCATTGGTAAAACTTGTGCGCATGCGCTTTGATTTTCCTGCTTTGTGTTTATAGTGGGAGTGGACTGCTGCTTTGGCCAGTACAGCATCTGTGCGTGGAAAAAAAAGTTACATTGGTTAACTTAGGGCATTAAACATTGTTCCTTTATCTTGGTAAAAAATTATTCCTAACAGTAGGCTCTATCTGTCCAACACACATACCTTGTGAGTACATAGCTCCACGACATGTCTGGTAGCTATAAGGCGGGTAGCAGAAGACGGGATACCCACTCTGCGTGTGCATAATACTCTGGTTGTACGCAAAGTGCGGTATTTGCGAGTACATGTGTGCCGCTAATGGGACCGCAGAGCTCGAGACTGGCGCTTGTTTGGTTATGTTCCGATACACACTTGTCCTGTCTCTCTCCAGATGATCAGGTCTCGCGAGCAGAGCGTCGATTGTGAAGGATTTCCCTGCGCTCTGCTTCGATGAAGTGGCATAGTCCGGATTGAAAGCCGCGTGAGGGCGCATTGATTGTCCAAAGTTTTCATAAGCTCTTCCAGGCGTCTGCATGGCTTCTGTTTAGGTAGGTAAGAAGTCCAAAAACCTGCTTGAAAGTTATCCGCCGAAGAGATGTTCTCGAGCTTGTGAAGAACGGAGTGGAATGAAGCTCGGAGAGCCGGTGGCTCTTTTATACCTGCTCGGGGGCGCGAGGTGTGAACGACCCCCAGCGCGCTTTTGTCTTTTTAAGTGGCAGATGAGTCAAACGAGCGGCTCTACAAGGGATCCAATTAACTGATGGAGTTGTAACAAGCTGAGATTGTCAACTATCCTAATGGCCCTCTGCACTACATGCCCCCGGAGGTAGCCCAGAAACACATAGAGGGGGTCAAGAGCCGAGAGCCAGGAGGTCCAGATTTACTACAAATTCCTACATGGCTGTGCGCCACAGAAACGTCCTATGTGAGAGTGCATTGATGCTACCCAAATCATCTTATTTCATGTATTCAAAGGGTACCGCCGAATGCGACACACAGCGGAACCAATACTCTCACATTCAGAAGTCAAAGAAAAGGAAAAAAAGAAAAGAGAAAAACTACTAATCACATTACGCTCAGCCCGTACATCTCTATGAAAGCCCGTTGCCAGTCTTTAAGACTCCAGATTGTCACCCAAATATTTGATTCGTGGTTAGTGAACTAATTCATAATATTAAATGAAACCCTTAAGTGTAATTGCCTAAAAGTGGTGCTGTCATGAGTTCAGTGAACTTATTAACCACTTTGAAGTTGATGAAGAAAACCAGATTAGTTGAAACTCATTCAATCAGATAGAACTGGCAGAAATGATTGTGATAAGTTAATTGGATTGAAACTAAGATGTTGTTATGGCATAATGATGAAAAGATGTTTTACAGTGCAGAACACGGTAGCATCACACCTACGTGTTGTGGATAATGTTATAGAATTCACTTCCAGTTTCAGTCTCGAGGTGTCAAATGAAAGTAGGTATAATAGTGAAAAATCTTCCACTGTGGTTCATGTAAACACATTGATCAGTTCTCCTCCCTCAATCAGGCGCTGGCGTGTATTGCACCTTGTGCCAATTGTGCCAATTGTGCTTTTGTCCGTTTTGGTGTTGCCCGAAAATTGGAGAGGAGATTTGCCGCACCTGGGCTTCAGTTTTCTCACTCTGAGTGCGAAACACGCTGCTTTTACTTAGTGTCGGGCGAGTAACTCAGATGAGCAGATAATCTATTCTACATTTCCGCTACAGAAGTCCACTTAATAAGATAGTGATGATGACCTCTAAGCTTCTCTTAACGTTTTAACTCCTTCAACCCCTTTTACTTTTTGATATCGGACAAAGAATAATTTGGACGGAACTGCATGTTGACAGCCTGTCACACACAGCAACAAATGTCACAAAAATACAGCATTGCATTTCTAATGCAGACATGCAACTTTTATATCGCTTTATAAGCACACTGTAAAAAAATAAAGAAAAAGAAACACCCCCCCCCCCCCCCCCCCCCACACACACAATTTTGTAACCAAGAGCATGTGCTTGGAGTGAAAGGCTATTTATACATTTTCCCATCATTATTATCTTTGTTAATTGTTAATATTCTAGCTTTTTTCTATTTCCAACTATTATTTTCAAAAATCAATATATATGATCAAATAATTTAAAATAATTAAAAAATCAGTAGGCTAGCGTTGGCTATTCGCATAGGTTATATAAACAATGCTTCAATGATTTTGCATTAACAGATTAATTGAAAAGATTCGAATCTGAATGTTGCTGTTGTTCGGAACCATTGTCCATTAAAAACAAGCTGAAAATGTAAGTTAACATTTAAAAAAAAATTAATCATCACTTATGGTTGCATTTGTGGAAATAAAGCCTGGAACAGAATTCATGTCTGAACAAAGACTGATGTTGAGGACCAGTGATGGGAGGAAATCACTTATGTAAAGAGGGAGTCCCATTACTGGCTCTCAATTAGGACATGAAACGCCACAGATGAAAAGCAGCGGCTTCACTAAAGGAAGTGATTTGCTTTCTAACGCTGCTTTAGAACAAAGACGCGCTCTTTCAAGGGAGGATTATAGTCAGCTCTGCAAACTCTACGTGCTCATTGCTAAAAGACAATTCCAATGAAGAGGACTTGCTAAAGCACAGTTAAACAGTTCTTCCTTTGACCAGCGCGTTTTCTAATTACAGCAGCGCACCTGACACCAACGCGTCTAATGGACAGCGCAAACAGCGCGCTCAGCGACTGACCACCAAGACGAAGTTTCCCTTGTTTGTTAACATGTTTCTCTGAACAGGCTTGAAAGAAGGGAATCACGCCGTGCGAGGCGGTGTTTACATATGACAGTTTAGTCCTCACGTCTGAATCCTCAGCAAGCACATCTGGGCACGCAGCAGCGTTTGCGCGCCTGCGCATTATGTACAATTACGGGGCTTTCTCTTTATTATCATCAACTACTTTACTATTTTTGGGTCTCCGCTTAGAGTTTTAACAATAGTCTTGCCTGTGACCTCCATAGCAATAGAAATGTCTTTAGAGAGAGTGTCCTTCAAAGTAATAGAGCCTAGGTTCACTCTTAAAAAGAAAGGTTCATTTTTGGCATCGATGGTGGAAACCTTTAACAATAAACAAACCAAAAATCATCCTTGACATTCCGTCCCATATTATAAATGATACATCATAAACAAGAAGGGAACCTTGCGCACAGTTGATACAGTCATGTGTGCAATATTTTTAACCCTCAGAATAAACATTAAAAACAAGGTTCAAACACTCTTAAAAATAAAGGCTCCAAAATGGAGTTTTCACAACTAATTCAAGTATTCAAACATATTATTTAACATTGCTGAATTAACCCAAATACTTTAGGTTACACCAGGAAAAATAATTGTAAGAGTTATATCTAGAAATAGCTCATTAAGGTAACAATTGCAGGTTGCAACTTTTTGTTTTTGTTTTTAACAGAGATGAATCTTTGTTTGCCTAAAGTGGAACCGAACTTACTTTCTTGATACTGTAATTTTAGATAGCATATTTCTTCTCTTTGCTCCTATGTTCATACCTTTCCTCTTTTATTAGACACTTTTCGAGAAATATATAGTGCAATTTCAACTGAGAGTGACAACCTTTCCATTGCACTAAAGGTTCTTTCTAGTAAAAAATAGTTCGTTCTTTTAAATGTTCTTTACACTAAGAAGAAAAAAAATAATGGTTAATATGGTTAAAAAAATATGATTCTTTAAGGAAGTTCTTTGGGGAAACAAAAAGGGTTCTTCTATTGCATCGCTGTGAAAACCCCCTTTTGGGGCCTTTCATTTTTAAGTGTTTGAACCTTGTTTTTAATGTTTACTCTTAGGGTTAACGGGACTATCAACTGTGAGCAAGGTTTTCTTTTTAATTGTGAGGGACATGATTTTATAATGCATCATTTAAAAAAAAGAAGCCATATAAGGACAGAATGTGTTGCTATATGCCTAGACATCAACCAAAATCAAGGATGAGTTCTGGTTTGTGTATTGGAGCCAGACAGAGAATACACTGATGGGCTTTTTTTGTGTTGGAGCTCTTTTCATAGTCATAGTGAAGTACAGTGGCTGCCCCTCCTTCAACAACATCCTTCTCTGTAAGACTGAAACTCCACGCACCACCCGAAGCTGGCATATCAAACCTTTCATCAAAATCATTATCTGACATAAAAACACTGATGTGCAGAATAAGACAATTTTCTTTGAATCTTACACTCTAAAAAATGCTGAGTTGTTTCAACCCAAATTTGGGTCAAAAATGGACAAACCCAAATGTTGGGTTAAAAATGTAATTAAAAAAATTACAGTTGAAAGTGAAAGTTGAAGTTGCGTTAAAATTTTAAATTACATTTTTAACCCAACATTTGGGTTTGTCCATATTTGACCCAACATTTGGGTTGAAACATAGTTGTAGAGTGTGTTAGAGTGTATAGTTCTGTTTCATTATTTGGATTGATCTAATATGTGAACGATTCCGGCAAAAAGTAACGCCTATGCATGCCGGTTAAGATGAAACATCCCATTTTAGAGGACTATTAAGCTTTTAACTTCTTCCTTTTCTTTCGACTTTTGAAATATCACCAGGTCTGCATTATGAGTTCAACCTGTTGCCATTATGTTTCTGTCTTATTACTAAAAAGGCTTAGGTTTTGATATAATGCTTAGTGATTTTAAGATTATTACCCCAGACGTGAAAACTGAGCAATTCTCTCCCCTGATTATCTCACCTCAGTCAATAGGCTTGGAGATATCTTCTCTACACTGGAGTTGCACAATGCTGCAGAATGGACCATCCAGTTTCTTTTCTTTTACTCCGGTAGGAACCATCAGGGTCATCAAGCAGAAACAAGGCAAATTGGACAATCTATCTGCCATTTCGAGCAGTTTGACTGGACGACCAGGTAACATACGTCTAGCTTCAATACACATTTCACCCCTGTCATGATGTATATGTGCTTCATTTAAATTGATTTTATTCAGTCAAATGATTTCATGTTTTTGAATTCAAGCATTCAAACATATTGTCTAACGTCACTGAATCAACTGAATCAATACATTTGAGCAGTTGGACCAATAACTCCTTAAGGTAATGAATGCAGGTTGACACTTTTTTACAGTGATGAATCCGATGAATCTTGGAACCGAACTTACTTTCTTGATAGACTATATGTATTCCCTTTGCTCATTTGATTGTACCTTATAAATCCTCCTTTTCGATGATTTATAGGCCTAACTTAAGACGACACATATTACTATGCAATTTCAACTGAGAGTGACACCAAAGTCATGATGGTTTATTGTCATTTCTCTACACCGTCTGATATGATATAGCGTCAACAAGACCACATTTTATATTTCCCAGTGTAAAAACTGCAGAAAGGTTAGCATGACATGGGGCAGCGGGTAAATGTGTTGTCCCTGGAGAGAGTGATATTGTGTGTGTGTGTGTGTGTGTATTCAGGCTGTCTGGCACTGTTTGACCCCACCTTGACTTGATGGTCCAGCATTTTCAGCGGGACCAATTGTCATTTCGGAAGCTTGATTTCTTTCTCTAGAGCTGCAGGGTTTAAAAACACATGGGCCGTTGTCCCAATCGTTCTGGCCATGCAACTAATGTCCCATTATCCTTCCAGCTCTTTGTCTCATTCTCGTCTGCTCATCAGGAGCAACAATAGAACATGGATGGAACTGAGGACTAATGAGGTTACTTGATTGCTTTTTTTGGAACAGTGATTGCTTAGAAACCAAAATCAGATCCTTGGTTAAAAGACTTGATATCTATAATATATATATATATATATATTTTCTTTTTGTCTTTTTAATTATTTATTGGTCTGAGGAATATTTATAATGTATATATCAAATATGTCAGTACCAGACTTAATTGTGCAGCTTCAATGTATTGACTTAAATATAATAAAATACAAGTGATGTCCGGGGGGGAAATTGGTTTTTAATGACCCTACAAGTTTGATTAAACCATCAAAATATATAAATATTTTAAATATGAGGGAAGAACAAAACAATAAACTAAACTTAAGGTATTTATCTGACAAACTACAACTACTGTTTATATTTTAATATGCAGAAGAAAAAAAAGCTCACAGAAAAAAAGCATACA